TCTGATAAATGGTTATAAATGAAGATTATCAAGAATGGTACTTAATAAAGTTACTAAAGTAAAGTAGCGAGAGTAACTAAAGTTACTAAAATAACTAAAATTACTAAAATTACTAAAGTAACTAAATTAACTGTAACTCAAAGGTAGAGTGGATAACTTTTAATTATCTTGTTATAGGTTCGAGCCCTATCAGTTAAATAAAGGTTGTAAAACAGTCTAGCAACCAGGTATAAATAGTATGTAATAAATTTTACACCTTTAAATTTTTATATTATTATTAAAAAAAGATATGATAGGCAAGAGCGAATGTGATGAAATGGTAAACAAACGGTTCTTAGGAAGCCGTGCCTATAAAGGCTTGTGAGTTCGAGTCTCACTATTCGTAAAATCGCTTATACATAAAATACATAAAATACATAAAATACATAAAATACATAAAATACATAAAATACATAAAATACATAAAATACATAAAATACATAAAAATACATAAAATACATAAAATACATAAAATACATAAAATACATAATGTTTCTCAGTATAAACACTAGTTAATATAATAATAATAAATAGAAATATAAGAAATGTCTAGGTGTATATAGATTTAGAGAATTTATATTCTAACGGATTTAGAGAATTTATATTCTAACGGTGTGTACACTATATCAGATGTAATATAAAGTATGGGAAGATTAAAAAGCAAAGGGAAATAATAATATCGAGAATGGTAATTGTAATTGTAACTGTAATTGTAATTGTAATTGTAATGGTAGCTGTAGCGGTAATTAGAGTTAATCATGGTTAATCGTGAATGGTTCTAAATGAATTACTACGTAATAGTATCGAGAATTGTGGAGGTAGATTTAGAATCTATAATAGACTTATGGTTCTAAATAATGGATTTAGAGGATCATCGAATCATCGATTTAACACCTGTGGTGTAAAATGGTTGTAAATGATTACTTATCTGATGGATTCTCTGATGAATGGTTATTTATATATTAATATTTAAATTTAATAATATGTTGTAAACTTGGGTTGTACCTTATCAACAGAGCTAAGTAAAAGATACAGAGATACAGAGATATAGATATAGAACTAGTACCTTAAAAGGTAGCTAGTAGCTAGTAGCTAGTAGCTAGTAGCTAGTAGCTAGTAGCTAGTAGCTACGCAGACTTTCCGATAGTTCGAAATAAGGAAAACGAAAAACTATACGAACACCTTCCACTAGTACTAGGTGTGGAAGTAGTATAATACGAATTACGAATACTATAGCCGAAGGGTATGTAGCGTATAAGGCTCGTGATACGCTGCGTTTTTAGTTTAATGGTAGAACAAGTCGTTTCGGCCGACCAAACATAGGTTCGAATCCTGTAAAACGTGGGTTAAGCATGACTTGATGGTAATGGATCAAGGTAATAAGCAATTTCTCTCGAAGATCTCTGATGAATGGTTATAAATGAATTACTTATAGCTGATGGTAATAATAATACTTATAGCTAATAATACTTATAGCTAATAATAATGATAATAATAATAATATAATAATATAATAATAATAATAATAATAATTATTATAATAATAATAATAATAATAATTATTATCTAGAATACGTAATGGATTTAGAGCTAATAATTATGATTTGATTTGATTTGATTTGATTTGATTTGATTTGATTTGATTTGATTTGATTTGATTTGATTTGATTTGATTTGATTTGATTTGATTTGATTTGATTTGATTTGATTTGATTTGATTTGATTCTCTTTTATATCGACTTATGAATTACTTCAAATCAGAACCGAAGTAATAAAGGTGTTATGAATGTGTGTAATCGATTTTATAAAAAGTAATAAAGATAAAGTGTGTAATTCCACTATAATTATAGTGGAAGTAGAACGGAGAGAATGTGTGTGTGTGTAAAATGAATAGAATCGATGGATGTGAGAGCGAGTATCGTATAACGGTTAATATGTCAAACTTCCAATTTGAAAATGCGGGTTCGATTCCTGCTACTTGTAAGTTAATTAGTATGGGTATAGGTGCTGAAAGTAAATGCTGCTACTAGGGATTATTACATTTTGTATAGCGATACCGCTATGTTCTAACACTGTTAATGCTTTTCATTATACGAGACTAGCAGTAATAATATTTATAATGAGCGGACTGCTAACGATAGAGATAATAAATATAGGGGTAGAAGAAATAAGTATATATTGTAGTCTAGTATTTCAATCAAATAGGACACTATTTATGGAGGTACTACTATTTATGGTTGGTGGTCTATGTCTAATAACGTTTCATCCTAAATCAAATAATAAGAATAGCAGCATCACCTCAATAACATCTCAGCCACATCAGTACGAAGAGGGAACGGGGTGGAGAGATGGGAGCCAAAGTACGATGCCAAAGGAGTATTCACTAGTAGTAATATTTAGTGTGATAGGGGCAAGTATAATACTGTCAAGTTATAACCTAATTTCGATTTATCTAGCGACGGAGCTGCAATCGTTTGCGCTGTATATCATAGCAGCGCTATCGAGAGACTCACTAAGGTCTGTACAGGCGTCACTAAAGTATTTTATACTAGGGGCTTGAAGTAGTGCATTTATCCTACTAGGTGCAGGGATAATATATACATGTACAGGGAGTACATCACTAGCGAATATGAGTAATTGGATATCAAGTACATCAACGGAGCCATGATCATATGCGAGTCTAGGTCTAATGTTCATTTATTGTGGATATATATTCAAGGTATCGGCGGCACCATTTCATAATTGAGCTCCAGATGTATATCAGAATACTCCGACAGTAGTAACGATAATGCTGATAACGATTCCGAAGATTTCAATTATGACAGCACTGTATACGCTAACTCAGGAGTTTTATAAATACGAAGGTGATGTATGTACTACTTAGTAGTGGCAATAACTTCCATAATTCTAGGGACGGTAACAGGTCTTGTTCAAACACAACTAAGAAGACTTCTGGCATTTAGTACAATTAGTCATGTAGGATTTATAGTACTTATGTCTAAGTCTAGGGACAGAATCAAGTAATAATGCTGTGATATTTTACATAGTTCAATATAGTCTATCAACCATTCTCATTTGAATATGTATTATTGGTTACGAGAATATAAATCTAGAATCCGTCATACATGGAAGTAGTAAAGATTGAAGAATGGTGAATTATATATCAGATATGAGACAAAGTTTTAGTAGGTATCGTTATAATTACATCTAGTATAGTAATAAGCCTATTTTCAATAAGTGGT